TTTCCTTTTAACATGAAAAAGCAAGATGCTAACTATCCAATATACAATATTACAGCAAGATACAAACTGTAAAAAAAAACTTTAAAAAATGTCCTATCTAGGTTCCAGTCCTCAATGTGATGAAAGATGCACTCGTCCCAAGTCCAGGCCTTCTACAGAGCCTATTCAACCACAAGAGCATAGGGACTTACTTACTTGCCCTTTCATAAACTTTTCTGAAAAGTAAGGCTCAGAAAACATAACCCTGAATTTTATAATGTAGCCTCCAGAATGCCACAAAGATGCAACCACCATGTGCCCTTAGGATAAACTCGAACTCCTTAACACGGCCCCTAAGCAGCTGGACCCATCATGGCTTTCTAACAGAATTATTATTTTTTTTTTATTTATTTTTTTTTTTTAAGAGTGGGGGGCCAAACCACGTGGCTTTATTATACACTCGTGGACGAGGTTCTGGGGCCCCAAGAGCAGGGGCCCCAGAAGCTGCCGCAGAATTATTAAGAGTGCTTCCTCTCACTCTCAAAAGCGGCCATCCCAGTTTGGACATAAATTGAACTTCTGTCAGTTCCTGGCTCCACGAGCTCACATTTCTGGGCCTCTTAATTTTTATTCCCTCTGTCAAGAATGTGATGTCGCTTTCTCCAGAAAGTTATTACTAAGGGCTCCCACAGCACCCTCGCATAACATGACACACCTGTTACTCCTGTTTATCTCCCAGATCAGCGCTCACTCTAAGCACACTTACACATGCAAGGACATGGCCCATCACATAACAGGCATTTACTAGACATTTATACAAATGAACATGTCTCCCTACGTCAAGACTGAAGTGAAAAACACTCCTTCCAAACATAGACTCGAGCCATTCATCCTTCGTTCACTAAGCAAATAAATGCAGAGATCCTATTATGCACAAGAATGTTAGTTGACCCAAAGGAATTTTTGTATTTTGGGGGAGATAAGAATAGCTTCATATATACTGACCACTACCAGGAAATGTACATAAAACTGAAGATATACAAATACATAAAGCTAATTTTAAATATTTTTACTAGCAAGAATTAGAAATTAGGAAAACAAATAGCTAACATCTAAGTGCTTATAATATGCAAGACTTTATATAAAATAACTTCACAAATATTAACACATTCAATCCTCATGATAATCTTCAGTACTATTATTCACCTCATTTAAGAAACAGAAAATTAACACACAAAGAAGTTAAGTAATTTGCCCAAGGTCACAGAGCTAAGTAGCAGAAGTGGGGAGCAAGTCCCTTTCTCATGCTTCTTTTTTAAAAAGGAGGGCATTGTACATTTCACTCTATATAAATTTTACCTCAATTAGGAGAAAAAAATAGGAAAGAAAAAATTCTGTGCATGTAAATGGGAAGTACACAAAGTTATTTATGTAGTAGTCTATACTATTTACATAAGCTGTAGTATTCTACGTATGCAGTATGCCAAAAATTTGTAACGTGACTCTAATCCACATTGTAGGGCATTCTATAAGATAAAAATAACTGTGTCACTGGACGCAGTGGCTCATGCCAGTAATCCTAGCACTCTGGGAGGCCCAGGCGGGAGGATCACTTGAGAACAGGAGTTGGAGACCAGCCTGAGCAACAGCGAGACCCCATCTCTACTAAAAATAGAAAGAAAATTAGCCTGCCCACTCAAAATGGAAATAAAAAATTTGCCCAGCGTGGTGGTGAGTGCCTGTAGTTCCAGCTACTTGGGAGGCCGAGGCAGGAGGATTTCCTTAGCCCAGGTGTTTGAGGTTGCTGTGAGCTAGGCTGACGCCACGGCACTCTAGCCTGGGCAAGAGAGCGAGACTGTCAATCCATGAATCAATCAATCAATCAATCAATCAATAAATGTCATAAAAGGCAAAATAAAACAAAATTATTCTAGGTTAAGAGAGTCTAACAAAGGCCAGGCATGGTGGCTTATGCCTGTAATCCTAGCACTCTGGGAGGCTGAGGTGGGAGGATCCCTTGAGGTTAGGAGTTTGAAACCAGCCCAAGCAAGAACGAGACCCAATTTCTACAAAAAAAATAGAAAAATTAGCCAGGCATGGTGGTTCATGCCTGTAGTCCCAGCTACTCAGGAGGCTGGGGCAGGAGGATCACGTGAGCCCAGATTTTTGAGGTTTCAGTGAGTTAGGATGATACCACTGTACTCTATCTCAAAATAAATAAATAAAAGAGAGAGAAAAACTAACAGGGATTAATAGGGACATGACAACTAAATACAATGTATAATCTCTGGCCAAATCCTGGATTAAAAAATAATAACCTATTGTACCTAAACATATAAGGCAAATATTAATAGACCTGAAAGGAGAGAAAGACTGAAATAAAAAAAGTAACCTATAAAGAAGAAAAAGACTATAAATAACATTATTCAGACAATTAGGGAACTCAGAATATGGAATCAGAGTTATATTAGATAATATAAGTATACCAATTATATCAATAGTACTGAGATTATACTCTTAGAAAAGACATGTTGAAGTATCTAAGGTTGAAGTATCAAGATGTCTGAGGACAAGCTCAAATGGTTCAAGGAAGAAGATGCATAGATACGTGACAGAAATCAAGTGGGACAAAATGTCAACTGGGCCTATTCTGGGAAAAGGGTATGTTCATGTTCATTGTACTATTCTTTCAACTTTACCAAAAGGTTTTTACATTTTTCAAAATAAGCATTTCGGAGAAAATACATAAGTGAACTATTTCAATGTGGAATCCTACAATCAACTCTGAAATAGCTTCTGAAACTAATCAAAATCATTAATATTTAAGAATGAGACTTTTTTGGATAAAGCAAGAAATCAGACACATATACCCAATGAAATTTTGTCACACATCTAAGTCTTCCCAGCTCTCCAGAGTTTAGAGGTTCCAAGTTTAAGGAGGGAAAAGGTTTTGATAAATAAGCAGCTCCAGAACCTATCTATTTGGCCAAAAGCTCTCCTGCTGACCCTGAGTCCTTAAAGAAGGCTGCCCAGATGGCGATGGTTGTGGTAGCCAGAGCTCTTACTCCCCACTGGGCACCGTGTTCACAACTATCTCATGTAATCCTAACAGCAACCCTATAAGGTAGGTACCAAGTCCCTGTTCTTGATCGTTTCCCAAGATCACATAAATGGACTGCTCTTTAGGAAACTTTTTCTCTCTCTCTCTTTTTTTTTTTTTGAGACAGTCTCACTCTGTTGCCTTGACCAGAGTACAGTGGCATCATCACAGCTCACTGAAACCTCAAACTCCTAGGCTCAAGCAATTCTCCTGCCCCAGCCTCCTGATTAGCTGGGACTACAAGCACACACCACTACACTTGACCAATTTTTCTATTTTTTGTAGAGACTAGGTCTCACTCTTGCTTAAGATGGTCTTGAACTCCTGGCCTTAAGCAATCCTCCCATCCTCCCAGAGTGGTAGGATTACAGACATGAGCCATCATGCCTGCCCTTAGAAAACTCTTTTTAATGTTTTAGGCCTAGGGGCCAATGTATTTTTTTTTTTTTTTTCTCAAACAATCCTGCTGCCTCAGCCTCCCGAGTAGCTGGACTACAGGCACGTGCCACCATGCCTGGCTAATTTTTTTCCATATATATTAGTTGACCAATAATTTTTTCTATTTATAGTAGAGACGGGTCTCACTCTTGCTCAGGCTGGTTTTGAACTCCCTGACCTGAGCATCCGCCCGCCTCGGCCTCCCAAAGCTAGGATTACAGCGTGAGCCACAGCGCCCGGCCTGGAGATAAATTTTGATCTCACCTCCATCTCCACAGTAGCCTAATCGTAAATCCCATTTCCTTTTAACATGAAAAGCAAGATGCTAACTATCCAATATACAATATTACAGCAAGATACAAACTGTAAAAAAAAACTTTAAAAATGCTTATCTAGGTTCCAGTCCTCAATGTGATGAAAGATGCACTCGTCCCAAGTCCAGGCCTTCTACAGAGCCTATTCAACCACAAGAGCATAGGGACTTACTTACTTGCCTTTCATAAACTTTTCTGAAAGTAAGGCTCAGAAACATAACCCTGAATTTTTATAATGACCTCCAGAATGCCACAAAGATGCAACCACCATGTGCCCTTAGGATAAACTCGAACTCTTTACACCCCCTAAGCAGCTGGACCCATCATGGCTTTCTAACAGAATTATTAAGAGTGCTTCCCTCTCACTCTCAAAAGCGGCCATCCCAGTTTGGACATAAATTGAACTTCTGTCAGTTCCTGGCTCCACGAGCTCACATTTCTGGGCCTCTTATTTTATTCCTCTGTCAAGAATGTGATGTCGCTTTCTCCAGAAAGTTATACTAAAGGCTCCCAGCACCCTCGCATGACATGACACACCTGTTATCCTGTTTATCTCCCAGATCAGCGCTCACTCTAAGCACATACACATGCAAGGACATGGCCCATCACATAACAGGCATTTACTAGACATTTATACAAATGACGATGTCTCCCTACGTCAAGACTGAAGTGAAAACACTCCTTCCAAACATAGACTCGAGCCATTCATCTTCGTTCACTAAGCAAATAAATGCAGAGATCCTATTAGCACAAGAATGTTTAGTTGACCAAAGGAATTTTTGTATTTTGGGGGAGATAAGAATAGTTTTCATATATACTGACCACCTACCAGGAAAGTAAAAACCTGAAGATATACAAACATGAAAGCTAAAAGAAATGGTTAAGAATATTATGGTATATTCGCTTATAATATTTTACCACCATTAAAATGATTATGAACACTAAGGCAACATGAAAAACACAGAATCAAACGAAAAGGCAAGGTACGCTATATCCATATTACCTACACATACTTAAAAAATCTAGAACATCTGAACAAATGAATATTGCTCGATTTTAACTTGAGCACTTTTTCTTTTATGTATCTATCCATTATTGTTGTCATAATGCTATTTGTGTAATACAAAACATAAATTCTTAATATTTATAAACACAAACAGTACACTTACCACAGTGGGATTGCCACTACTTATCAACTGGCTGACTTCATGAAAAATGCTTTTGCAGTCAATTGATTTATCTAATGATCCTCGCTTTACAATTACTGCTACTGCTAGTAGAATCTGTTCCCGAACATACTTTTGGAGGCTGTAAAACATAAAAGTCATTGTGAAAACATTTACCTAAATCTAATATAAAAACACTCTCAAATTTCTCACTATGCCTGAAGCTACTAATAACACTGCTTACATTTTTTGTTTGTTTGTTTTTGTTACCTTTCATGAACTTTGGCTATAGGTGCTTTTTTTTTTTTTGAGACAGAGTCTCACTTTGTTGCCCAGGCTAGAATGAGTGCCCTGGCGTCAGCCTAGCTCACAGCAACCTCAAACTCCTGGGCTCCCTGGGCTCAAGCATCCCTGCTGCCTCAGCCTCCCGAGTAGCTGGGACTACAGGCACGTGCCACCATGCCTGGCTAATTTTTTCCATATATATTAGTTGAACCAATTAATTTCTTTCTATTTATAGTAGAGACGGGGTCTCACTCTTGCTCAGGCTGGTTTCGAACTCCTGACCTCGAGCAATCCGCCCACCTCAGCCTCCCAGAGTGCTAGGATTACAGGTGTGAGCCACCATGCCCGGCCTCACTGCTTACATTTGAGAGTAGTATATAGCCCACTGGTTATGTATAGACACCAAAGCCAGAGACC